TTGGCCCAAGGTTATTTGCAGGTCCCACTGGCCAAGGAAGATCGACCAAAGACAGCGTTTCGATCACCTACTGGGTTTTGGGAATGGACAAGAATGCCATATGGTTTAAAAGGAAGTCCGGAAACTTTTTCTCGGTTGATGCAGAAGGTTCTAGGACACATTCCACCACATCGGTTGGCATTGTACATGGATGATATCTGTATTATTAGCAAAACGTTTGAGGAACATTTAGTAAATCTCCAGGGAGTATTTGATGCATTGCGACAGCATGGATTACGAGTTAAAGCTAAGAAATGTGCTTTCGCAATGAAAGAAGTGAAATTTCTTGGACACAAAGTTTGCAACAAGGGTGTGCAGCCAGAGGAACATAAAGTAAAGGCAATTCGTGCATGGGTTGCACCAACTTGTCTTAAAGAGGTGCAAATGTTTTTGGATGCAGTTGGGTGGTATCGGAAGTTTATCAAGGATTTTAGTACAATTGCTCGACCATTAACATGGCTTTTGGAGAAAGATGTCACATTCACTTGGGGTAAGGAGCAAGATGATGCATTCAATACACTAAGACATGAGTTGGTTAAAGCTCCAGTATTAGCCCATCCTGACCCCACTCGACCCTTTGTTGTTACCACGGATGCAAGTAAAGTGGGTCTGGGTGGTGAACTATCACAAGAAGATGCACAAGGACAATTACATCCGGTTGCATATTTCAGTCGTGCATTGACCAAACGAGAACGTTCATATCCAACTTATGACAGAGAAGTGATGGCTATGCGAGACACGCTTAAGCATTTTCGGTATTATCTGTTAGGAGCACAAGTAGTGATGAGGACCGACCACAAACCTCTTCTAAAGATCCTGGAACAGAAAGATCCATTTGGACGAAGAGCGACATTGATGAGAGATATAGCAGAATTCGAACCACGCATAGAGTTTATTCGAGGGCAGGATAATCACATGGCAGATGCTCTTAGTCGGATCGGATGGAATGTCAAATGGGAAGAGAGAGATGAGGATACTAGTAAAGTGGCTACTATTGGTGGCTCTCAAGACGAGATTGGTCCATGCAAGGATGTAAGGTTGGACATAAATGATTTCCAACTGCAGCAAGAACGTGACCCAACCCTTAAGCCACATATTTCTACTCACCGAAACGAACATGGTTTATTCACACGAGATCATAAGAAGCAAGTGTTACTTCCAGCATCGCTTGTTCCCACCATATTATCATTAGCTCATGACGAAACAGGGCACCAAGGAGCAGATAAAATGCTTGCAAGAATTGAACCTCATTATTGGTGGCCAAAGATGAAAGCAGAAGTAGAGAACTATGGAAAAACGTGCCAACGCTGTGCTGCTACTCTTGCCCAGGGACATAGAAAAGCACCCATTCATCAACGACCAAAAGAAGAGAAACCATTTGCGTTGATAGAAGTAGATCTCAAGGGTCCATTACCGAGAACGAAAGAGGGATTTGACAATATTGTTGTGATAACAGATCCATGTACAAAATATGCAGAGATGCATCCAATTCGAGGACAAACCAGTCAAGTTGTTTGTAAGACACTCATGGGTTGGATATCAAGATATGGTTTACCAAACAAAGTGCACTCTGACAATGGACCTTGTTTCATAAGCGAAACATTTGAACAGTTTTGCATAACCCAAGGCATTGAGCATACTTTCAGTCCACCCTATAGGCCACAAGGAAACGCGGGTGTAGAACGGATTACTCGTACGATGGGGGAAGCACTCACAAAATTGGTAGATAAACATCCCAACCGATGGTCTCAACACCTACCTAACGTACAACTAGCATACAACACGGCAGTTCATACAAGTACAGGAGTTTCGCCGTACGAACTAGTTTTCAAGGAGCACCCGCGATCAAAATTCGAAATTATAACAGAGAAGATATCACCAGCAACGGTTAGAGAGAAAACGGAACGACTGCGCGAGACTGTTAGTGAGGTATTCCAAAAAGCACAAGAGTCCGATGCCAAGTTAGCGGAAAAACGCAGAGAACGGTACAACAGTAAAACTTCGTTTAAATCGTTGGGGGTGGGTCAACAAGTTTGGAAAAGAAATTTACGAGCAAAAACATTTGCAGATCGGTGGACGGGACCCTATGTCGTGGTAAAGCCCACGTCGGTAACCAAAACATCTTATGTGGTGAGAAGGAATAATGGAACTAAAGAAGAAATTGTCCATTACAATTACCTTAAACCTTATCAGATTCGACCTGTCAAGAAACCAAAGTCAAGGAATCCACCAAAGAAGAGTGGGGTCGGACACCCAGCACTGGGTACCAGTGAGGACAGTGAATCTGACAGCAGAGAAGAGGAAATGCAACCAGAGAGAAGATATCCAGAAAGAATTCGAAGACCTCCAGAAAAATACACATAATACTTTTAAAGGGGGGAGTGGTGTGATATTGACATTTATTAGTTACATTGAAATGATACTCGTAAATAGCAAGCCTGTTTGCAGGCTATTAGGCATGGACCTTCGGGGGTAATAATTAACTGAAAGACTAAGACTATTGTTATTGTACATGTGTTCGGGGAAGACAATATATAAATTTACAATCTTAACACAATTGAAAGATGGACATTTAATAACAACATGAAATTGAACGGAAAGAAATGCAAAGAAATGATAGTGAGTTTCGTCCGTAGCGAGAATGACATCCCCCGACTCCTCATTGATGGTTTACCTCTAGACTTAGTTTCTTCTTTCAAAATTTTGGGCTTAACCATGAACAATAAATTGAAATGGCAAGATAACACTGAAGCGTTAGTTAAAAAAGCCTCAAAACGCTTATACATTATTCGTGTCTTACAGCGCTGTGGTCTTCCCCCCAATGACCTCTTACTAGTCTACTTTTCTATGGTGGCTCTATCTTAGAATATGCCTATCCTGTCTGGCACACCATGTTACCAAAGTGTTTGGGGGATAAAATTGAAAAAGTTCAAAAAAGAGCTTTCCGTATTATTTATCCGACAACAGATTACGAAGATGCTCTCAACATCGCTAAATGCAAGCGCCTTGTCGACAGACGTCAAGAGCTATGTGCTAAAACATTAAAAAAGATCTTTAAACCCGATGCTCACCTCAACCACCTCTTACCCCACTCCGTGAAGAATCGCATGAACTGGACTTAAGAAACAATTCTAACTTCACATTAACTAAATGCAGAACGGAACGTTTTAAAACTAGTTTTATACCAGCAATGACTTAAATAATTTGTAGTATTTTAACAACTGTACATATACGATATATTTATATTTATATTATTTGATATTCATCTTTTATTATGTTTCTGTAAGCATATTGCAATTCACCTTCGGTTGCCAAAATGTGTTTCTTAATAAACCTTTAATAAACCTTTAATAATAAACACAAATTCGCGCTAGCTTTAACGTTTGCAAACTGATTTTAAAACAAAAAGATTTCGTGTACTGTTTGCGGTCTCTTGATATAGCTATACATTCTATTTGGCTAGCCAGTTCTAGTCAGTAAATTCGCGCAGAAATAAGGCTTGTTGAATTATAACTATGATAATGCAGACCTATATAGCTACCGTATGCAGCTGCAACCGCAATATCATATACAATGATTCATGCATAATAGGATGTGTACTGTTTGCGGTCTCTTGATTAGCTATACATTCTATTTGGCTGGCCAGTTCTATATAGTCAGTAAATTCGCGCAGAATAAGACTTGTTGAATTATAACTATGATAATACAGAATATAATAGCTACCGTATGTATAGCTGCAACCGCAAGTTTCATATAGCCTATAGATTTCGTGTACTGTTGCGGTCTCTTGATAAAGCTATACATTCTATTTGGCTGGCCAGTTCTAGGCAGTAAATTCGCGCAGAAATAAGGCTTGTTGAATTATAACTATGATAATACAGACCTATATATAGCTACCGTATGTAGCTGCAACCGCAATATCATATACAACGATTCATGCATAATAGGATGTGTTATTATGTTATAAAAATTTAAGTTCAACTGCATGATTAAGCAAAGATGACTGCATCTTCTTAACCTGTCAGCAAAAGGTGACTGCATCTTTCTGAACACGCGAGTCTCCACTAAATTGGTCTTTATAATATAAACACAAATTTGCGCTAGCTTTAGCGTTTGCATGCGCAGTGATTTAAAAACAAAAATATTTCGTGTACTGTTTGCGGTCTGTTGATTACATTCTATTTCACTGTTTGGCTGCCCGGTTCTAATCAGTACAATTCGCGCAGAAATAAGGTTTGTTGAATTATAACTATGATAATACAGACCTGCTGTATAGAGCGCTGTACGTAACCCCAATATCATATACAATGATTCATGCATAATACGATATGATTTCATCATAAAATTTAGGACAACAGCAGCCGACTTTGCTCTGATATGACTGATTCGAATGCCTTACTTGCCCCAAGCGTCGAGAACATAACTCTGTCGTGCCAGTGATAACGTCTTTAGTCACCCCGGCAAAGAAACGGCGATGCGATATTTGGCGACCTTCGTCGTCTCGCAAGTCTTCAAGTTTGACCCGTTTAATCTCTGTTGGAAAACAATTGAATGTTTTACTAACAAGCAACTTATTGTATCAATTTGTATGCATACCAATTTTTCTTATCATCTACGTTGTGCGCAACCACTCGCTTGAACGTCGTCCATTGATGCGCCTCGAATTCTGTCTTGGCGTGTATTATATCCAAATTTGGCGCGCGATTTTTGTTTTTATATGACGACCACAATTTGCAATGTGTAATATGAAGTCGAAATTAAAGAAACTAATTCAGTAGTTAATATTAAATGAAGTTTGGTTTCAAAGATATTATTACAAATAAGTAGCAAGGTTCGATAATTAATATATGTCAACAGTTCATCAACTTTGACACAAAACTATGGTTACCAACACCAGAAACGCTAATTCTTTCACACATCGTGCGGATTCTCTGGTTACATATCAGTCTGCTCGATTCGAGTCTGACTCTTCCACAGTCCCTCATTTGTACGCGCGGTCGCGTAATTTGAGCAGCGCTGATTTGAGGGACTGTGAAATCGTGACTCGAAAACTTGCAAAAACACTCGAAAACTTGCAAATGTGCTCGAAAACCTAAAAATTCGTCGAATATGGAAGAAATCGTGGATGTTTTGGACGATAGCGGTGCTTTGCTGTACATGGGAAGTGTTTTGTCTGAATCGTGCGAGGAATTAGAGATATTAATGGAATATTTATCTCTTGAAGACGATGATGGTGAGTGTTGACATTTTATAGCAATATGCCTTTGACCCTTCGACTGTAAAAATATATTATATAGGCGAGATTTTGATTAGGTTTTCGTGTTTTATACTGTTTCATAAAAGTGATTGTACCTTTACAAGTTACAACTTCGTAAAAGCTGGGTAAATGCTCTATAATACGGATTATTTTTATTTAATTCTGCAGAATAATTTCCACGCGCTATTTTATATAAATATATACGCCAATTAACATGTCAACAAATATAAAGTCAACAAGAAGTCCTGCTCAGGGGAAACATGAACTGAACCGCCCTCGTCTAACCGTTTTGCCAAAAACGAACATATTTTATGTTGGTCTTAAGAGTTAAGTTACTCGTTGTTTTTGCCAAATGTGTAAGACTTTTCACTTTTGCTTAAAATAGCAATATGTGAAAATGCTGAATAATAATTTTTTTAATGAAAATTATTTAGCCAATGGGGATCTCAGGTTCTAGCTCCTTGGTTAGTCGTCGGCATTTGAGGTTTAGGAGTTCTGAACAGGCCTCCATGTTATGGATTTATTTTAACCTCAGTGTTTTACCTAGACACCCCCCCCCCCCTCAGGTTCAGCATTACCACGTCATCACCAGTAAATAGGGCTGGGCAATATTTTGATATTATCAATGATACACGATGATTGTACATACTCAAGATCATCATATTGAAAGTAAACGCTGAGCCGTGATGGAGTTATCGTAAGGGCCGAACTAACAAAGCTTAATAATATAAAATCTTAAAAAAACAATGTTAATTAATCCATCCCTTTATTATTTTGTTTGATAATTGCCAAGGATTTCACACAGAATCCCCTCCCCCAATACCCCCAAGTGAATCCATCCCACTACTACACAAAATAATACTTCTTTCCCTCCGAGTCAGAGACGGATTTTCATATTTTCGTTCAGGGGGTGGATAATATCTGGGGAGGGTGCTGCTGCTTGCTTTGTCCAGGGCATGGTGGCAACACCCAGAAAGGCCAAGGAAAAAGTTTAACAAAATTTTTTCTAGGCCTGCATGGCGAGATCTGAGACCATAATATTGGTAATTTTACAAATTTAGTAGTAAGAATAATCAAATATGAAACTATCAAATCGAAATATATGTAATTTGCAGGGGTGCCAAATGCCTTTGGGAGGTGCAAATCATTTCTGGGAGGGTGTGCACCCCCCCCCCCCACACACACACACAGAAAATCTGTGCCAATTAACAATGAAAGCATTTTTTTACAGATCTCTGCAATATTATGTTTACAAGTTCCTTGAAGATATGATTATAATAAATGGTGACATATGTCTGTACATTGTAGAGCATTTTGTACATATTTTGTACTTATATTACTGAGGCCAAATAAACATAATAGTTGGTTTCAGGTTTCACAGCCATGTTTTATATGGGTAGGTAGGTTGGAAAAGCATTTTATTTAAAAACACATAATCAGACGTGCCACACGGGATCAACCGGGAGCTACACATGTTTTGCGAGAAACAAATGCGTCAAGGATTAACATGACTAGATAATGATTAAATTATGAGCAAACAAAATACTTTGTAGCAAATGACTCTGATGACTATTTATATATTCTGATATTTACGAAAAGATGATCCCTACTTGGGAAATGTCAATAATATGTTTATGGCCGGTCATATTTTTGACACGTCGGTCAGAAACCTGAAGCCAACTATTATTTTTATTTGGCCTGAGTACTTTTTATAATATTCAGACAATAGATAAATTTGTATCATAATTAAATTTGTATCAAAATCTGTAATTTAATAAATATTCATTCCATCTTGTTTCATTTCTTGTTTTCTTTAGTAGCCTACAAGAAAAGATCTTCTTAGAAAATCTGATATTTTTGAAAACTTATTACATGTATATACACAAGGCTGTCGGAAGTAAATCAATATTGGGATGGGGTCTCAAGAATAAATTTGAATTGCTTTTGCACTTTTCAGTGTGTTTGCTCATACAAATGGAAGATGGGGGGGGGCTTATGCTGCCCCCCCCACTTCTGAGTTCTGACAACCTTGATACATGATCTAACTGGCACCTGGCTAGGCCCCACACACCTATGTTTTTTTCCCCAATGAAATTATTAATAAGAACAGTATGCTAAAAGAGGTTCAAACATGGGGGATGTTTCTGTGAAAGCTGGCTTTGCCTGATAAGAGGGATATCCCCATGTATAGCAAGCCTTTTTTAAGGTACTATCACTGTTTGAATCACTCAAACCTGATGCTGATACAGCTGATTGCTAAGTAAGTGCACAAGGGTTTGTTTTGAAAATTGCATTAATAAAACCAAGTCAGTATGGTGTTAAGCCTCAAAAACTGAAAACAATAGACTTGGCATAGACCCTTCCTGCAAGGGGTGCAAACAATAAAATTCCTTATATTAGGTAAATTTGCTTATTTGCAAGGGGTGCAATTATGCAAACACAATGGTGAAAACAATTAACAATATATTCAAGGTGGCATCCTTAACCTTGCTACTTGCACATGGTGCAAAGGCTATAAAATTATTGATTAATAGAAATTAATTTAACAATATTTTACCTGAGATTCGACAGGGAAATATTTTGATCAGCGTATGTCTTTAGTTTGACAGAGTGCAAAAGAAACATTCCGTATATTTTGGCAACTTCTTTCGGATCTTGGCCAAATATGGAAATAACGTTCCTTCTCCAGAAACGTCGAACCAAGAACTACTTGCCAATATCTACACTCTACAACAGTCAAAACAAGATCGATATTTTTAAATATGCACATATATTAATAAATTGCGACAATTGATACATTTTTGATGTAACTGTAAATGTAAATGAACATACCTTCGTACCCTTCTTCAATAAACAGGAAATATATTTTAACGTTTCCTCGCCATACATAACGACCTTGAAAAATCCTCCCTATTTGCATTATCGCGGCCATTTAATAATACAATTTACAATGGACGCCATCTTGGATGCGGGATTTCCGAGTCGCTTCAGATTCTATCGCATTCCCATTAAGCACCGCGCTCCCATTGTTTTCCACTGATCTCTATTCCCAACTGAAGCGACGAGGGACGAGGCAGGATTCGAGTAAGGGTTGCCCGATTTGTATCATTGGTGATTTGGTGTTCGACTTATAACGATTTGACCTATTGAATTTTGACAGTAAAAACGCGCCATATATAATACATGTATTAAAATTCGCGCAGTAGCTATACTAGAATTGGCGCAAGTAAAGATAAAGCGGTGTGTTCAGTGAAATACCAACAAGAACTAAGACATTTATTGTATGGTTCTCATTTTCCTAATACAATAACATTTAGTTCACAATATAATATAAACAAGGAAAAGTTAAAGGTTTGGCGTTTGACTACACAATGTCGGCACTGCAATTTTTTTTCCGTAGACAGTCGGACTCCTCATTGATAGTCGGACGCATGATTGACCCGCGCCCTTAAACAAAATATTCAGCGGATACACTTCTTATTAGATGCGCCTTCCAAGTGTGTCTTGCGCACTCAATTGGTGATTTCAAAATCAGTATTGCGTGGTTGAGATGTCAAAATCTGAGCAGGACATATTGTAGCTTCATATCTTGTGTGGTGATCGGCATCTTTCCTCTAACATATTTTATTAAGTTATTTTCGCCATTTCCACTTGCTTTTCTTTACTTTTGTAACTGTTTTTTGTAACTCTTTTCGGAGCGATTACAAAATACCCGTCCACTTTTTAAGATTAATACATCTATATTTATTCTCAATAGATTAATAATAAATAGATTGATAGTCTCATAGTGTAGTAAATGATAGATTAAAATCCCATGGCGGTAAAGGTAGCTACGAGGCATACAGTGACTTAGCATTAATAGATTAAATTGTCATAGTGTTAAAGGTAGCTCTATAATCTAGTGGATACGCGGGATACGCAGTCAAGTAGTTATTTTGAGAACGAGGCATACAGTTAGAATAGCATTAGATTAAATTCCCATACTATAGGTAGCTCTATATTTTAGTGGATACGCGGATACATGCTGATACGCAGTCAAGTGGTTATTTTGAGATTATAATTAAGGCGACAGTTAGTTAGCATTAATAGATTAAATTCTTATGCTATAGAGAGCTTAAATGTGGTGTAATATGTAAATATGTTCCTCACAACCGGACATTGGTGTTTGACAGATTATGATTAATTAGCGTCGTTGGGAGAAAAAAATATTATAAAGCATACTAAGCATAATATTAAACATTAAAAGTCTTGCATGATATTTGCTTTATAGTATCAATTCGTAATATTGTGATATTACTAGTGGGCGGGTATTCTGCAATACATACTAGTTGTGGAAAGTGTTTTTGATGGTCGCTTTGAATCTTCCAATATTTCCTTCCACGCTAGTTATCATATACTGATTCTCTTCAATTGGGATGGTATATAGTTTTAATTCTCAATAACAGTTCTTGAGTATTTTCGGAACCAGAAAAACAAGTTTATAAATTTGCTATAGCATCGCAAAGCAAATCTTTCTACACGTGGTCGAAGACTGGAACAACGCGGAATGATGGACATATGGTATACCAGTGGGTTAGGCAGGGTACGAAGGGATCGATCGATAACGCGCGAAGGCCTGGACGCGGATCAATGATCCGTCCGACTATCAATGAGGAGTCCGACTGTCTACGGAAGTGTCGGCACTATACCTTAATACATGTATTAAAATTCGCGCAGTACGTATAGCTAGTGCTGCTAGCGCGGACCTATTGAATTTTGACAGTAAAAACACGCCATATAATACATGTATTAAAATTCGCGCAGTGGCTACTAGAATTGGTGCAAGTAAAGATAAAGCGTGCGTTCAGTGAAATACCAACAAGAACTAAGACATTTATTGTATGGTTCTCATTTTCCTAATACAACTCAACTCATAGTTATTATGTGCTCATTTGTTATCATGTGCTCATTAATTCTTATATCAATATTGGAACATGATCACGCAATATTGGAACATGATCACGCAATATTGGAACATGATCACGGATTTGCGTAGCGCAAAATCTCCATTCTTCAAAAACGTATCGTTCAAGGCAATTGAAAGGCGAAGAAGACAATGATATATTGTATCTGACTGCTTCACTACTCAGAAATGATCCACGATCATGATTTGATAAAGTTGAATATGGTCACGTGATTTTCGGTGTGAACCTGAGATACTATCTATAATTATTATTACTAAGTATCTGAGTATTAAACTAAATGTGATTTAAAGCACAAGAGATGTTACCTATGTCTCATTTTATATTTTTATTTTTTTCCTATGAAGGTTTGTTACTTGTGCAAAAGCGCAACTTTAGGTTTCAAACAGTTTGTGCCTTCTGCTTTTTGTTGTCGAATTATTGATTTTCTTTGAATAAATCTACCGCTGAAACTGTTCTATACGAACTCTCTTGCTCCCCATTACCTTGTCTATTACACCATAGCCAATCTCGTTCCCCGAGCCTGCGATCCTCGGGAAGGAAACGAAGGCTCCGGGATAATCCGTTACCGAAAGCCAGGAATTCTGGCTAAGATTGAACTACACATTCCATATCAACAGCCAATCAATCCCTGAAACGGATTATCCCATAGCCTTCGTTTCCTTCCCAAGGACCGCAGGCTCAGGGAACGAGATTGCACCATAGCACGCATGTCATCATTTTCAGGTCAGTGTGAACGCCTGAGTAGGCGTCTTGTTATTATTTAAAGCCATAGTCAAACTCGTGATTAACAAGCCAACCTCTCGCTACGCGGTCGTTTGATTTCGTAATCACTCGTATGATTATGGCATTAGAGAGTTTAAGCTTCGTGTTATATGTCAAACGGCAAACGCCAGGCAAAGAAATATTTTACGGTATAATTAAGGCAATAAAGAGTAAATGAACTTGCTGTTTTAAAACTGAAATACATAATTATTCTTTCAACGCAAGAAAGAAAATATGAAACGAAAACGTTAACTGACGACAATTTTGCCAAAAAAATTCGAACCTGCTCTTTGTCGCTCCCGGAAACGTGAAGCTTAGACTCCCTAATAATAGCACTCCTTTCGTTCTATCACCATCATATATCGGCGGCGAATTTGCTTTAATTAACGCAAAAAAAGTTAATAAACTTCTTTTTAGAAATATGTGTGCGTATACAAACTAAATTCCATGTATTTTTAAAGAAAATTTGACCCAATTTTATGAAAAAAATAATATTACTAACCTCGAGGCTGTTGCAAACAAATGAATTTCGCGTAGACAAGTTTTCCCGCGCCTTTATTATTTTGGAAAAAGTTAATAGAAAAAGCTGTTAATGTCCCAAATTCGTTTTATTATTCTGCCATATCGCTTGTCGTTTGTTTGAAATTGACAAAACATCTAAAAATGGGTGAAAAAACATGAAAATATGTTCCTGTCCCATATCGTGAAATATTGGATGGGCACGTGACCCTCTCAACGATTACTGGTTGGTTAAGTGCACGTGTTTAATAATTTAATATAACGAGATCATGCTCATTCTATCACTTTTTACACCTGAGTTCGCTACAGAATTGGAAATTGTATAAAAACATTACCCATTTCAAATGGAATGGTGATGGACATCAGTTTGCTACACAAGGCAAACAATAGTAAAGAAGATTACGAACTTGTGCAAAAGTGTCAACCCCCTTTTCTATTTTCCTTTTCTTTATCTTCTTTACTATGACGCTTTAATGATACTTAAAGTGCGACTAACACTAAACATCATTTTTGGCATGTGTAATAGTTGGGTGATTTTAAGAAGTAATGTAATATATCTTTATAGTAAAAAGGTTCGTCTTAATAGACTTTTTCACTCTCAAAGTTGCGGAAATGCCGTCATTTCTGGAATTGCAAATTAGTTTTCTCTTATATTTGCTGTGTTGGTGTAGTGTACTCAGGTGAATAAGTTGCTTGTGATGTTACTCTATAACAAACATACATTCAGGGAGGTGAGTCCAAGATTGGACGCACCGAGGGTGGCTGGAAGTTTCCCAAACTTCGGAAAATTTCGGGAAACTTCCAGCCACCCGAGGTGCGTCCAATCCCGGACTCACTGAACCAGCAAGTATGTTTGGTTTTTATCACATGCCATTTCGATAAAATGCTAAAAAGTACTGAAGAATTTTATACGCATCTTACTTTTTAGTATATAATTTCGTGTTTGGATAACGAACATTTTAGCCGCCAACATACTACGCAAACAAAGAAAGTTAGGCTTAAATTAAAGCTAAAAAAATTATCTACAATTCTCCCTTATTTTTCCAAGGAGAAAATGAACACATTCTACAAAAACAATGCCAAGATTTATATAAACCTGCTCGTGCCAAACAAATTTCGGCGGTCATCTTT